TGCCTAAGGGAAGGGATGCCTTCGTGGAGGACTTTCTAAGGGGAACTGGCTCGTATACACGTTACCACGAAAACACCCATGCAGCCAACCCGTTCACGGGATTCGAAACTCGGACCGAGCAACTAATGAAGAATTTCTATTCTGCGAACCATTGAACAAGAACAACAGCAGAAGAAACTTTTAATTTAATCAATACTTACAGGATTCGAAAGGACATTGACTGGAAAAACTGCATGGGACTGAGCAGCGATGGTAATCTCCTAATGGCAGGCATCCATGTTGAGATGTTTGCAAAAATAAAGGTCATGGCACCAGAATATGTATTGTTGCATTGCAGCATACCACAGAAGCTTTGGCCATAAAAAAAAATGTCATTGTTTTTGCAAACTGCTATGCAAAAGTGTGTAAAATTTATAAATTTTATGGAACATCGTCCAGAACATCCTTCAATGCCAGATTATTCAGTGCATTATGTAAAGAGGTGCGTCTTGAAACATGGAAATCTTCTTTTAGTTTGCTACGTATAATCGTAATCCAGAGGGAGTGTTTTAAAGAGACTTTTGGAAATGACAGTTTTTATGCTTTCAAACCAACATCCCCTAAATGGCTAAATGGACAATGTGGTATTAATTTAAAGATTGTTTTGAGAATTGTTCATTGGTTGATGCTGTTTTATCTACTTTATGACATTTTTTATTTTTTTTACTAAATTAAATCTTTCGTTACAAGGTATTACAATGTTAAAAGGCAACAACGTAATTGTATTTAAAGTGCAAAGAAAGATAGAAGATCAGTTTGTGGACCCTTTGTGCCGAAGCAGGAAATTATAATGCTTTAATGAAACTAACTGAAGTGCAAAAAGAATACAATATTAGTTCTATGACTCGTGAAATGTGAACTGCTATCGAGGAAGAAAATGAAAGGATTGCAGACAAATGTGACAGAATATGTTCCTCCAATTCATTGCAACAAAGCATGGATAAGAAACCCTTTCACAATTAATACAGAATCAGGTACGGAATTATTGATTCAGATATTTAATCTATGAATAATCCGTCCAGTATTATAGCCCTTTATGAGAGAGAGCTCAACAAAATACCATGGATAGATTTTTGGCTATCCTGTCGTCGACAGTAAAAGACACTTAAGTTTCTAATACCTTTTGTAACAACTTACAGATCCGAAACAGCCTCCTCGACACTTGTTTTTTCTAAAAAAATAAATACAGAAATCGATTAGATGTCGAACTAGATTTATGAATAAAGTTGTTACCTTTTCCTATAGACCTGTAAATAGTGTTAACGAGAAACATCATCACACTTCCCATTATAAAAAACTTTTTCATTGTTTTACATTTTTGAATGTGTTTTCGCAATAAAGAAAAAGTATTTTAATATTAAAATTTAATTTGCCAATAAGTCATAAGTAATTTTACTGAGTAACAAAGGGAAAATATTAAAGCAACCAGGTCACGAAATAAAGAAGTTTGGAAAAACCTTATACGGTATAATCTCAAACACAATCTAAAGTAAACAGTTGTAAATTCAGAGACAGAATTAAGACGTCTAAAGAAAAATTCACGGCAATCTAAACGAAATTCAAGAAAAATCAAGCAAAAATTCATCAAGAATAATGTGATCTGAATTTTAAGTCATAATTACAAAATGCGCAGTGGAATTAACCGGTCAATTCAGTCCAATAAAATATAGTTTTGCAGTTTTATTTATGAAATCGCCATATTCTGGGAATATGACCTTTTATATTCGTTGCGGTTAAGTATTAAAAAAATAAAAGCTACAACCGTCTTGTAGATTGCATCAACTAGCGCAAGCCCATGAAAAAGAGAAAAATGATCTGCTGACTCAAGAAACTTCCTCACAAATGTTTCAAGTTTGGAAGTAATTAAGCTCCGTACTGTTAGGATCATTAACTCGAAGTGGAACAGACGATGTTCTTTTGTTTCTTTCTCCTCGATGCTAATACCATCTCATCAGCAAGGATCTCACTAGTTTGACTCAGCGCCCAATAACAATCATTTAACAAACAAGACACTTTGGTGCAATTTTGAAAACAAAGCTGAAGTCCAAAGAACCCGAGGTTATTTTATGTTCTTTGCACAGCTGGCGTAGACTGCTAACAGTGATATCGGTAGTTCACCAACAAGATACGCTGCATGATATAAAAGCAGTCATTGCTCATTATCTATGTTACAACAATACGAATTCTTATGTGATGAGATGTTACTTGAATGCTTATTTATAATACTTTTTCTAATCTTTGCAAAATTATGCTAGAAATATCATTAACTGCACTTTTGTTTTCACTGGCAAGCGAATGTCCAGTTGAAACAGTTTAGGGCATAAGTGTTGATTGATGATGTAGATAAATCATACACATCTTAAATCATGCACATTGCTTAAATTCTAATTTTTATTTAAACAGTTTATTTTTATAAACTGGAAAATTTTAAATTTTGTATCTTTTAGACTGCGAACTTGAAACAGGATTTTCTGCATAAATATTTATATATATAAGGAAGAGTCTGTCTCTGTGTGTGTCTTTTGTTCGTGCTGTGCGTAAGCTAATAGACCCAGGTCTACGAATTTGTGCATCTAGACAAGAGCCAATGCACCTCGAAGCGATTTTTTCAAAATTCGAATGTTTTTTTTTTTTATTTTTATTTTTTTTTTTTATTTTATGTTATTTGACATCGCATCAACTCGATATTCTCTCTCTTATCATAACATGGCTAAGTGTCATTGTTGCTATATCAATACTGTTGCACCGGAAAAAGGAGGGCGATAATTCTGTGCAGTTCAAATTAATGTTTCTCTTATACCCTGGAGGTTTGTCGAGAGAACGCAACGAGAATTTGATTCTTTATTTATTAGAAATTAATTTTTTATTAAGGATATTGCTTATTTTGTGTATTTTTTATATTTGATACTTTATTGATTTTTTATTTTATTTTATTTCATTTTATTATATATATATATGTATTAAGTTGTTCTTCAGAGTAAAATTCTGTGGAGTTTTTAAATTTAATGTTTGGTGTTTCCTTTAGGCATTTTCCGGTGCATTTAAAAGCCAGACAAAGGCTGGCCGCGTAGCGGCTAGTTTAAAATAAAGCCTAAGAGTATCTTTGTGAAATATGCATCCAACAACTTGATATACGCAACATTTGTAATAGTTCCTTGCCCTTCCATTTTTTATTTAAATAGTTCTCTTTTCTATCTTAAAAATCGTAACTGCTTGTAATAAATCACTAAATTGTGTCATTTTAAAGTGTAACGCCCATATATAATTTTTAGATAACACTAGTGATGAGATACATATATAAGGCTTCTAATCTGGGAACCAAAACTAAATATTAACCCATCAAAGTGAAGCTAAACCGAAACTAACTCATGCTTACCCAAGCTTTTATCTTAGACGTGGCGTATTATCTCTCTCACTTCTGTACTGTCAACTCGCTTGCCGCTTTCTGCTCATTCCTCAATTGAAATTAATTGTTATAAAGAAGCAGGAAAGAGATAAATATGATCAAGAACGGGCGAGCAAGTTGTCCGTTACGATGTATATTTCATATTGAGAATGTACTTCTCAAGGATAAAGAAAACTTAAATCGGCCACTACAACTGTCGCCTTTAATGCACCAAGCTCCATCTCTCCGTAAATCGTTTTCGCCGCTTCGTCGCGACATCAGTTTCTAAATTATATATGCGTATATATATGTATGTAATATTTTAACCGCGTAGAAAGCATCGGTACTTTAACTTTCGATAGTCATCATGGCTGAGGGTGAAAGGATACAGACGAAACAAACAAAAAATGGATTTTGACGAAACAAAAAATGGAACACTAATCTTTATTTTCACACGTATCAAATTATATTGATAGACATTTATCCATTAGTTAAATACGATAATTTTTATGTACACTGGCTTGAAAAGTACTACGTAAGCATTTTAGACAGGAAACCATAAGCAGAGCTGAGATGTTGGCAGGGCAGAAGTTAAGAAAAGGAGTGACGTAGTTGCTCGCGAAGCAGTATTTGTACTAAGTAGGTTCATAAGTAAAGCTAAGCTGTGATTGGTTAATTTTAAGTTTTATTTCTCATTTGACTGTAATGAATTGCCTACATGAAAAGATAGCACTTGCAGACAGACGTAATCGTCCATTCAAAGTAATTTTAGTTGCTGGATAACACACTTCGTTAGACGCAATATCTAATTCACACATCATTATGTTTACAGTATGCACCCCACAATTTTTGGAAGCTTACGTTTTCAGATAATAGATGAATGAAGAGAAACGAGCAGCGACGACGTTAGCCAAAGAATTGCACTAAAAAAATTGAGAGAAGCATTTTTTATGACTAATATGGTTATAAAAGACACTTCTGTTGCTAGCATATTTCTCTTCGGAGACCAGCAGATAAAAAGTTTTGTATATTTTTACTACAAAGAGTCTATACATCAAACTTGTCTTAACGTGAAAGACTGACAACCTTGTTTCGTTCATTTCATAAATTGGAATTACTCAGTTACTAACCCTTCCATAAACATTTACTAGTGCCGACTATTCGAACAATTCTAGAAATGCAGTGAATCCTATCAGGGCGACAATCGCGCTCAGGTAACCACCTCTAAAAGTGACCAGTATTTCTGGAAAGATAAATAAGCATTGCTATTGAACCTACTTCTCTAAGACGATCACTTCCACAGAAGATCAAAAATCATCTCTAGAAAAGTGGCTTGTCGTCTTTGAGAAAGTTTACTGCATTTATCTCCGTGTAAAATATATGTATTTATAGATTTCAGAAATTTTCATCACTCAGAATACTTAAATGTGTTTATTTTCTTGCTGTTCACATTGTGATTAAGAAAAGCTTCTAATTTTCTTATTAACGTTAATTTATACATATTTGTTTATATCTGAAAAACATTGTATTAATTATATTTGGTTTTCTTGCATATGAACAGTTATTATATTCACAGCGCTGTCGGACATGTCGTCTCATCCCATCGTGGAGAAAGGAGAAGACACGCCTATTTATCTGAGGCTTTCAGTCATCGCTCCTCTGGGTTCCTCAGTGGGGATCATCTTCCTGGTGCTAATTGGGGCCTGTTTCTACGTCAGAAGGGAGGAGAAACGCTACAAAGCAGCTGTGCCAGGTATGCGTCTCCTGTGACATCTCCAATGTGCTGAAGAAAGCGCTCGTTAGTGCAATGCGAGATACGAATACTTACCTATTTTTAGCATGACGACTTTAGAACCGAATAATAGTTATTTCTAATTGTCACATTATCTGTTTCGATTATTAGAGGAGAGGAAGAGTTTGCTAAATTCTAAAGATAGAAAATGCTTTATGCTGATTTAGTCAAATATGATCATTTAAATATATTTTGATCTGAGAAAGTGCTGCTCTTGAATCTTGCTTTTCAGGCATTTGGATACATAAAGGACGAGTATTTCTCGCTACTATTTTTGCTTTATTACCCTTGCGAAATTCGTAGGCTATGAATGACAAAGATGTTTTTTCGGTTACTTGTAATCGAATCACTTGGAAAGGAGAAACGAATGTGAAAGCTATAAGGTATTTTCTCCCTCCTTTCCGTGTGTCTTCGTGGTGTAACTGGAAGCACATCCGACATGTAATCGAGAAGACTGCAGTTCGAATCCCGGCGAGGGCGATGCACATTTTTCAAAAAAAACTAATGATTCTACAAAGTTTACAATAGGATACTTCATGCATCTATATGTGTAATTATTTCACTAATGTCTGATCAGGCCTCAGCACTTTTAAACATAAAAACGCATGGAAACAATATTACTTTACAGTACATCTAGCAATAGATAGACATCTTCCTTTTTTTCTGTATTCTACTTTTCAGTATTTCTGAAGAACACTATCTCCGCCACTGACACTGTAGCTTATTACACAATCAACAAAACAAGATCTCATTTTTCAAGCATGAATTTATTATTGTTTTCGCGATTCTGTTTAAATGAAGCTACATCGTACATATTCTATTCTGTTTTATAAGGTCCTAATTTATAGCTTAATTCCTGATTCTTTATATGTTCATAGTATTTTTCTTTAGTGTATTATTTGGTAAAATCTGGTACGTTATTTTTGGATCTGAACTATTTCCTACTTCGAAAAGCTTCAATGCTCTACTTTTGAATAAAACTTGCATTAAACAATTGTCGTTATAACATAGTCAAACCGCGTATAAAGGATCAAAAATTTGATTCGTCATTTCCAATCTGATGAGAAAGATTATCTCACAAAATATACAAAAACTGACTGAAGATTCTCAATAAAGCTGATTAAAAATGTCACATTTACCAGAAGTAAATAACAAATCTAATTTTAAAAAATCATATTACGGCTTACAATTCTTATCCGGCGCAAATATTAAATTCGCTCTTCGTTCTTTTCTAGGGTGACCATATCAGGTTCAATGTTTCTTCTTACCTTCTTCGGAAACATACAATGACCTGACTAGAACAGAGAGCTTACTAAAGCTATGTTCACTAATTGTAGTAAGTAGACAGGATACAGACGAAGGGTATACAAAACCCTTTATTTTTTCTTTATATACATGACTTCCGTACTTCGGAATACAATGACCCTCCACTTCGGGGTCTAACTTAAAGATATCAAAAATAAAACTAAACTCTAATTTAACTTTAGAATAAGATTGGCCTTATAATAACAGGAAGCGTATGTAGCACAGAGACTGTGAACACTACAATACGTTTAATTTATCAAGAGGATTAAAACCTCTGGCCTGGAAGGCAACCGTAGCAACTGCGTAACTTCTAAGGTAAGCGGCCTGCTTCGAACTCACGGCTTCCTCTCTCTGCTTGGCAAAAAGCCACACTTAATACTTGGCGTTCGCCAGACAACTTTGCATAAACTCCTTCAACGCTTATAATTCTGGCCGGAAGTAGAAAATAAGAAGTGATAGTAAAGATTTAAAATAAAATAAACGTTAGTAAAACTTAAGATCCTTACATACTTCCCGCCAGAGTTAATTAGTTTGAAACTGAGGTCTAAAACGACCTTGTTGAAAACTTTTAGCTCTAGAAACTAACGCGAGGCCAAACTTTTACAAACATAACTTAGCTAAAACTAGAAAATTTAAAGAAAGAAATTTGTTACAATAGCAGCTCCCGGAATATACAACATCTTTTTCTTTTTCATCTGTACTGCATCTAAACAGGAGCTTTATTCAATTCTGGTTCCTTCCAGAGATCTGGAAGGAAAACTAGTTTAATGAAATGTTACAGAATGACATTGCAAATAACATATAGAATATACTTTTCTTAACATTCTTATTTCATTCATGACTATTTTAATTATCTCTCCCCGTGCTCTCTGACATGTGTTGTAAAAACACCAAACACGAATGTGTTTCTGTCTATGTGTTCAACACTTCCTCCTACAATCAAAACACTAACGTGTTAAAATTCAACATACGAGACCTCTTAACACACCCTAATTTCAACTCTAGACCCTGAGGTACTATTCTGAAAGTGGCTAACTCTAAAGTGTAGCGTCAGAGAGCCTAACTACACTCATTCAACCTTTAACACATATTCACCATGATTTAATCTTTACAGTCACACGAATAACAAATTTTTTAACATTACTTTCACTTTTACCATATCACGGTATTTCTAACATTCAAAATAACAGTTCACATGTTATACAAGAACATATCAAGATGCCGTTAATTTTACACATTTGAAAACATACATTAGTAGTACATTGTTAACTTCTATTCTTTTCAAAGCAAGTGCCAATTCTTTCTACATTGAAATAATACTACATTTCAAAAAGTCTTTCAGACTAAAACTTCTTTCTTGTTAGAATGTTTTAAATAAAATTTATACAATAACTTTTTACAATATTTAAGTCTTTATACAACGCTATTATACATCAACTTTAGTTTACGCGCGAGTAATTGAAAAACATAATAAAGAAATCGGTCACAACTCATTTCTCGCCTTTTTGGCGATAAAGGTAGACCTCGCATGAGGTAAAAACTCTTTGAAATCTGCCACTTGCAGTAAGAATGAAAGATTAACTTAAGTTTGCAAAGTAACATAAAATTTTACTTATCTTTGTAATATTCGGACATCCTTTTCTGGGCCCAGTCTTAAAGGTGCTGCAGATAGTTAGCTTGGTTGATCCTCCTTCTTGTACGGGCTCGCCCTTCAGTGCTTTCCTCTGGAAGCTTTCCGTTTTTCACCACTACGGCCACCCTTGAACATCTTCCTTTCTGTCCTCTGCTTGTGGTCTTGGCCGTTTGAAGGCAGCTGGTCTTGGTGGAACCGGGAAACTTCTGTCGTGATCCTGCTTGGACCTCGTTGTTGGCCGTTCAAATTTTTCTTGTACTTTTTCCTCCGCCGCTGATGGCCCTTCCGCAGTTCGGCGACTTTTGCTGCGGAGAGTTCTGTCGGATGAGTCAATCTTCCGTTTCACAGCCGGGTTATAGTTGCCGTCCTTTCTCCCGGTCTTTTCCACATACGTCGTCCTTCTCCCTTCTTCATTCTGGGGGTGTTCGTGAACTCTGTTTTTTGGACGGTGGAACGGCTTCTTTTTCTTTGTACCTTCAATTTTTCCGCGGGGCAATTTTCTTTTCAACTTGCTTCTGTCTCTCATTGGCTTGCCCTTGTACTTGTCGTTTTCCCACCTCTGGAACTTGTACCTGCGGTGTCTGCCGTCCCGGATCCTGCAAAAGATCTTGAAAATATTTGCATTTTATTACGATCATAGAATGGTTTGATTCTGATCAATATTTGCGGAACAGGTTTCACCATTTCTTGGCCTTTTAACACTACAACAGCGTGAGTTATTTTTTCTATAACATATGGTCCTTCAAATCGTGGGAAAAATTTGGCAGTTTTTATCTTCTGGTGCTGAAGAAAGTGAATGCTTAATTTTTAACACTTCATCCCCTACTTTATAAGTTACTCCCCGTCGTTTCAAGTCATAATACAATTTTTGTTTTCTTTGTGCTACTTCCGTATTCTTTTTTGCTTCTTTTATTAGTTTTTCTATATCACCCATTTTAAATTCTGGGGCTCTTTGTTGCACATAAAATAGTTTTATCTAACGGTGTTATAATCTTTCTGCCTAGAAATAACTCAGCAGGAGTTTTTGCCCGTTGTATCATGTTTTGCGGTCCTAAGGGCGAAAGCAAATTCATTGACATAGTTATCCCAGCTTTTATGAAAATTTTTAACATAACTACGGATAAATTTTCACTATATTTCTGTTGACCCGTTCCGCTATATTTGATTGCGGCCGATACGGGACCATTTTTAAATGACGTATGCCCAGTTTTTGGCACATGTCTTCAAATACATTACTTACAAATTGGGGACCATTATCCGATATAACTTTTAGGGGCGCCCCGTATTTTAAAATATATTTATTTAAAATAGAATCAGTAACTAATTTCGCGGAGGCGCGCGTTTTAAGGGAACAATTTCGGTCCACTTACTAAAATGATCAACCATAACAAGGAGATAGCGACTTTTGTTTAACTGACTTTTTGGGAAAGGGCCCAATAAATCGATGCCGATTATTTCATTTGGAAATTCGGATTTAATACTATTTAGAAACCCGGCCGGGCGGAAATTAATATAATTAACGGCTTGACATGTTGGGCAGGACTGGACATACGCCCTTGTTAACTTTTGCAGTTCAGGAAAGTAGAAAAACTGCCTCGCGTACGCGTTGGAGTAGTTTTTCGAATACCAGCATGAGAAGCTAAAGGGCTGTCATGGAGCTCTGCAGGATATTTAATCTAAGACTAGCTGGGATAACAGGTCGAAATTCGTTGTTGGAATTCGTAGTTTTTGTATAAAATAATAGACCATCTATTAGTTCGTAATGGGCCGCCCTATTTCTTATCGCCACAATATCTTGGTGGCTAAAATTTTCAGGATCCTTC